CTACATGTTCTGAGTTCACTTTGGATGGACTACGAATGATCAAATTCAGAAAACTATACATTTTTTTGCGTCCGGCTACAAATTGCAAGAAACAAAATTTTCAGGGTGGGTCAGCACCAACAGTGGACAATAGCTACGATAGGACTGCTGAGAATGCTGTATTTATTCGAGCACCACACGTATCTTTTTGTTAAAATAATTGAGCTCTAAATATGGATTGCGGGTCATTTTTTTCTGAAAATTTTTCAACATTTTCGTGCGCATCAGACACATTTGGCGAAGTTTCTAGGGATGATCTTTACGAGACTAGGATGAATAAGATAGTATATTTAGGCTCAAATCTTACTGAAAGATGGACACGCGTACCAAAACAGAAAATGCAACAAAATTCAATTCATAATTTCAGCAGTAAAAAATGAAATTTTAGCTTACGACTAAAATAAATTGATTTTCGTGTCGCAGGAAATCGGCATGCGCAGTCTCGAAAATGATTCCAATTAATCTAAATTTCATAGATAAAAAAAAAAAAAAACCCTAGGTCTCACCGGATGAACCGCCGGACTTCAAATGCCGACATGATTGCGTCAATAGGGTTTGGTCAAGTGCCAATCGCAGCACACACCTCAACATTTTCACTTTTCACACTTTCACAGCGTCTCGCAATTTCATCGCAATGACAGACTGTCCATCAACTTACAAAAAAAAAGAACAGTAAACTACGTGATAAACTAGCAAGGAACACCCGCGAAAAACAAAATCAAAGAACGCACAATTTTTTAGACAGAAACGTCAGAACATCGATTTCAGTCTTCGATTACAGCCTCGTAAATCCCGATAATTCATTTCTCCATCGGGGTCTTTGAATTCAAAGCTCTTTTCATCACACAAGACATCATAGCACGCAAACAAGGGAGCACTGAAACGCCTGCCCTGTTCAGGATGTCAATGACAAACTTGATAAAAACAAAGCAACCCAAGCACGCAGAAAATAAATAACTCTCATCACCACAAATCCAAACATATTCCAAAGCTTACTTCACACATTTGAAAAATTGGATGTAAAAAAAAAGTGAATACGTTATCCAACACCTGTGGTATCTTGTTGCTGAGGTGCTGACATCATTGAGAAATGGATGCAGTCAGTTTCATTGAAACTTGGATATGTCTTCTCACCAATCTGCACTTGCAGCGTCATCTACACGATTACAAGTTAACTGCTCTTTTCACATAAGAGCCCAAGACCCCTGAATAAAACCTATGGCGGCCTCGGCAATAATTTTTGGATAAAGCATTTGCTGCCTGGAAACAGGAAACACACAGTGATCTATCAAAATAAGAGAATCTAATATTTTTTAAAAAGATTATTCCGACGTGGAACACTCCAAGAATTGGGTAAAAATGTTCACAGGATCGACCAACGGTGATAGGTCATCAACAATGGCAGGGATTACTTCTTCTGCCGGATCATGATCCGGTTTCTTCGTCCTGGATCTAAAGAATGAAAAGAAAAAACTGTTTACAATCTCCAATTGCGAGCAGTTTAATGCTACGAACCTCTTTTTGTTCGGGACCCAGCTCGACGATCTTTTGGTGAAGCCAAGATCTCGTTGGATAATCTTTTGGACGTCATTGAAAGTGAGGTTGAGTTCATCAGCTATTTTCCTGATGGTCACTCGCTTATTATCTTCGAGCAATCCACGCACACGCTCAACGTTTTCAGTACAACTCGGTTTCGGTGCACGTGGCTCATCATCGAGGT